GTGAGAAAAAGTTGGACTTAGACGGCTAAACCGTACGAAAATATCGTGACGGTAGCTATGATGTGTATCAGTTCATTCAATGATTTTTTTTAATAATATTGATTTGAATGTAAATTTTAGAAATATCTTTTTTTTTTATTTGAACCAACCTAATAAAAATTTTAAAAAAACTTTAAAATTTAAAATATTTTCAAAATTTTCAATAAAATTTTAATTAAAAAAAAATCAATTGTTGAAAAAAAAAATACGCCAATATGGATCCTCCATAAAGACACGGGTATACCTACAATTCAAGAACATATATCAATGTTTGCCTGTAATTATAAGAATAGAATTGACGCCCATCCTAACCAACTAGCATGCAATTTATACCAGGAAGGTCAGCCGACCAGGCTCAAAAGGAAAATACCTCGAGATCTAATATAGTTTATTTTCATATATATTTTTTTCTCCATATTTGTCTTTAGCTTTTTTTATCATATTAACTATAGTTATATAGCCACTGGACGTATCTACTAATTTGTTAACAATCAATTGTAACAACTTGTCAGCATCCTCTGCTAAATATAATTATTTTTAAAGATTGCAGAATAAAAATAAAACTAGTGGGGCGCATGGCATCGTGCCTTAAGGCAAATTGCTGGAACTTCCCGTATCAAAAATTATTTATTTTAAAAAGATTAACATATTTGAAAAAAAATTACTCTGAAAAAATAGATTTTTGAGAAACTATAAATTTTTGACAAAATCTTACTTTTTGTTGAAAAATTTATTTTGAAATATTTTGGAAATTCTGAACTTTTTTTCCAAGCAATCGTACTGCTTTAAATGCATAGGGACTAAATATCGAAGCGCGTAAGCGCCGCGTCGTCGTCTAACGGATAAACACTGGTACGGAACCCATAGGAATGTTAACAAAACTTATACTTATTGTTGAAATCTCTATAAAATATCTGATAATTTGATATGCATATGTCTAATGTCTAATGATTATTGTTGACCGCCAAACAGTATTTTTTTTAGTTTTTTTCACTAGATCTCAGAAACCGCTAGACCTATCTTCATTAAAATTTGATAAGTTCTTCATCTTGTTCAAACAAGTAAAATGTTTTTTGAATTATACAATTGGACGAAAACTGAGTTACCGTTTTTGGCACTCTTTGCCCCGTATCTTCGGAACGGCTAGGCCTGCCTTCGCTAAAGACTAATCAGCACGTCTTCTTATCAATACAAATCGAATATTTTTTGAATTAGTCAAATCGCTTCATCCGTGTAACCGGAATCGTCGACAAAAATTTGTATCCGAACACACACACATACACGCACACACACACACGCACATACACACACACATACATCAATTTTTTCTAAGGCATGCCTAAATGTTCAGAAGGTTTTAAAACGTAAAGATATATAAAAAAAAATCGATTTTTTTGCGATTACTATAACTTGCTCTACAAGAAGTTAATTATAAATAAATCAATTTATCATCTCCATAACATTAACAATCGTCATTTCATTTCGAATTAAATTTCAAAAAAAAATAGTTGCCAAATTTACACAAAATTGAAAAAGTGCTCCCGCATAGTCACAGTCTAAACGCATTTGCAAATAATTCTGTGCGACATTTTTACTTATACTGTGCTTAGCTTGGCGGCATTTTCACATTTTTCAATAATTTTCACAAAATTGGAAAAGTGCTCCAGTTCATAAACAGTCTAAACGCACTTGCGTAAACATTTCTACCAGAGTGGCGCTTAGACTGTGCTTAGCCTGGGTGCTTTTTTGAATTTTTAATCCAAAATTACAAAAAAAATTTTTTGAAAAAAAAATTAGAAACAAAAAATTTTTTTTTCCAAAATCAATTATTTTGTTGAAAGAAGCAGAAAGTTCTTTGAATCATTTAAATCGAACGCTTAGTTCTCTCAAAAACAGCCATTTTTTTAACATTTAGCTCTGTATCTCCGAAACCTCTGGGCCTACCTTTGCCAAAAACTAATCAGCACATCTCCCTATCAATAGGAATCGAATGTTTTTCAAACCATTCAAATCGATTGATCCGTTCTCTCAAAAACTCGCTTTCTATTTTTTGCACTCTTTGCTCCATATCTCCGTAACGGCTGGACCTGCCTTTGCCAAAAACTAATCAGCACATCTCCCTATCAACAGGAATCGAATGTTTTTTAAACCATTCAAATCGGTTGATCCGTGCGCCCGAAAACGTGGACGAAAAAACGCGGACATACAAAACACACACACACACACACACACACACACACACACACATCCATTTTTTCTGAGGTATGCCAAAATGTTCAGAAACCTTCAAAACGTCGAGAAAGGTAAAAATTTTTGATTTCGATTTTTGGACGATTACTATAACTTACCCTACGGGAAGTTAATAAAAGTTTTTTTTTGAAAAAAATCAACTTTCAAAACTTTCAGAAAGCAAAGTTTTATGCTTTAAATGAGAAACATAAGTTTACAATTCAGTTTAAAAATGTATATATGTATTTCATATACGTTATCCTAAGAAATCCTCAGATAGATCCATTTGACATTTTTTGTAAATGAACAATAAAATGTATAGTATTTATAATTATCAATTTGCTAAACTTGAAAACATTTGTTTTTGATCGTTCATTGATTATTATTGATTTTTTTCTCGAATATTTATTTACGGTGCGGAGGGTTCCAGCAATTTGCCACGCAAGACTAGAAAGTTAGATTCACCAGCTTTTTTATATAACAGCTCATATGTAGTTGTGAAAAAATTGAAAATTTATGTCTAATGACAGCGTAGCGTAGAAGTGACGATTTTTTTAACAATAATATTTGAGAGTAGAGGGAAAAATATATGTAAATAAACGGCAGTGTTCCAAAGTCTTTAACAAAAGAATTTTCTTTTGTTATTAGTTTTTTTAGTTGTCAGCATTGTTGTTTAGTTTACGACCTTAATAATATTTTTAAGTATACATTACTTAATTACTTTATATGGTGTATTGTAAATTTTAAGTTAGATTCAACAGATGTTTTTAAATAACCATTACAATGATCACATATTTTATATGACCATTATAATAGCATTTATATTTTGCATTGGTTGAATAATGTACCTAACATTTCGTACAATCTCTTTGCTATTAAAAATAAATATAAGACCAGTTTGCCCTGTGGCTACCCCATTTAATCCCGCCTATGGGGTAAAAGGACTAGGTGACTGAAGAATTAGCTGAAAGTTATACTGAACATTGTCAGATATATCTTTGTTTGATATGTGTTAATTGTTTTGATATAATTGGTTTGGTTTTCACAATATAATTGCTCAAAGTCAAATTTGACCTTTGTGCCCGCCCTACCCTGTATTCAAAAATACATATTTAGCTAATGAATTTTAATTAACAGTAGGGTTAGTTATAGTTTCACAAAAAAATCTAAAATGAAAATTTTTATGTATCTTTACATTTCAATGTTTTTGAACATTTTGGCATACCTTAGAAAAAATGGATGTATGTTTATGCGTGTGTATGTTTATGCGTGTGTGTGTGTAAGTGTGTGTGTGTGTAAGTGTGTGTGTGTGTAAGTGTGTGTGTGTGTAAGTGTGTGTGTGTGTGTGTGCGAATGCAAATTGTCGTCGACAATTTCGGGAACACCGATCAACCGATTTAAAAAATTCAAAAAACATTTGATTCGTAAATTTGTATTGATGAGGAGACGTGCTGATTAGTTTTAGACGAATGCAGGTCTAGCCGTTCCGAAGATACGGGGCAAAAAGTGCCAAAAACGGTAACTCAGTTTTTAACCCCTTAACTTACGATTTAGATTCGAAAATGTCGGGTCAAAGTTGTACAAGCTAGCGAATGCGTAATATTTGGGAAGGCAGGTCTAGCGGTTATGGACTCACATCAAATTATAAGATATTTTATAGAGATTTTAATAATGTGTGCAAATTTTGTGTAATTTTTTTTGGGTTCTGTACCTAGATTTTTAATTACGGTACGGGAAGTTCCAGCGATTTGCCTTAAGGCACGATGCCATGCATTCCACTAGTAATTTTTTTGTTGAGCTTAATAATTTAACTGCATCGCATTGATTGATTAATGTAGCTATTACTCCATAAAACTGCTCTTCAAATTCAAAATAATATCGTTTAGAGCGTGGGCTGGCACAAACTAGTCCCAGGTTCGCTGGTTCGATTCCCGCTACCGCCAAGCCTGACATCAGGCGACTTTGATGTCAAATTTCCACTTGGGGTTATAAATCACAATATAATTCCAAGTGGAAATCGTCCTTCGTGGACATAGTTGCATCATTCAATCATATGTACACTATTAGACGTAAGAGCTATTATATAAAACCCACACATAGGAGATGGTGAACCGATGTGTTGCCTCTCATAACAATACCTTAGGTCATAAGTCATACTCAAAAAGAGCTTATATAACATTAAAAAAAGTAAGAGTTCTGATTGCTGTGGAAACAATAAAAAAAATTAAAATAAAATAGTATACCTTGTTGCCTCTACCTGTCTATGTGGTAAAACCAGATGACAAATTTTAGAAAAATATTAAAAACAACATAGGGATCGTTCAGGTATTACGTAAGCAGATTTAGTACAATTATTTACCCCCCCATCCCCATTTGTCAGCAAAAGTAAGCAAAGCTGTCACCAAAATGTCACCCAAAATAAGAATTCAATAACCCCCCGCCCCTCTATAGTGCTTACGTAATACTTGAACGGACCCATAATTACACAATATAAATTAGCTGAGAGTTTCATTGAATATAGTTTGATGGTTGTTGGATTGAAACGTGTTATTTGTTATAACTTATGATATAATTGGATTGTTTTTTATGGTATATTTGCAAACAAAAAGTCAAATAGGATCTTCATGCCCCGCTCTACCCTGATCTGTTTACTTCATTCAAAATTAAACGTGATTAGTGATGTGTGCAATTATTGATACTAATAATAATGTGTCTTTTTCGTTCTATTCTAGTGCGACCTATGAGCGTCAAACTGCTCGGAACGCCCGGGCAATTCATCGCCGGCGAGAAGTACAGTGTGGCTTGCGAAGTGCTCGGTTCGCGACCTCAGGCACAAGTCACATGGACCCGTGGCGAACGAAAGTTCCGCAAAGGCAAACCCGGACTCGAAAAGGTGAGCCCAGTTAATGTTTACTACTAACTCTCTTAGTGTACTTTATGTGATTAACAAGTTTATGTTGCCGTTTTACATATTTAGTGTGACACTATCCTAAATCCACAACTTATTAGCAGTTTTGTGTGACTAAAAAGGAGTTTTGATAAAACAATTAAATTGAAACAAATTAATTATGAAGCAAAGATTATGAATCAGTTGCTCATGTTATTTTTTATATATAGTCAAAATCACATAGTGTGGCAATAACTTGCCAATGTCTTATTTTTAACTTCCCGTAGGGCAAGTTATAGTAATTGGAAAAAATCGAAAATGAAAATGTTCACATATTTTTACGTTTACATTCCTGTGGGTTCCGTACCAAGGTATATCTGTTAGACGGCGACGTGACGCTTACGCGCTTCGATATTTCGTCTCTATGCAGTTAAAGCAGTACGATTGCTTTGAAAAAAAAAAATTCATATCTTCCAAAATATTTCAAAGTATGAAAAACATTTTTTTCAAAGTCTTTTTTCCCAAAAAATAATTTTTTAAAAAAATTACAGTTTCTCAAAAATCTATTTTATTTTTAACTTCCCGTAGGGTAAGTTATTGTAATGGGCCGAAAATCGGAATTGAAAATTTTTACATTTCTCGACGTTTTGAAGGTTCCTGAACATTTTGGCATACCTCAGAAAAAATGGATGTGTGTGTGTGTGTGAGTGTGTATGTATGTATGGATACAATTTTTCGTCCACGTTTTCGTGCGCACGGATCAACCGATTTGAAAGGTTCAAAAAACATTCGATTCCTATTGATAGGGAGATGTGCTGATTAGTTTTTGGCAAAGGCAGGTCCAGCCGTTTCGGAGATATGGAGCAAAGAGTGCAGAAAATAGAAATTGAGTTTTTGAGAGATCGGAGCATCCGATTTGAATGATTCAAAAAACATTCAATTCGTATTGACGGGGAAAAGGGATTAGTCTTTGGCAAAGGCAGGTCCAAAGGTTTCGGAGATACAGAGCTAAATGTGCAGAAAATGACAGTTTTTGAGAGAACTAAGCGTCCGATTCAGATGATTCGAAATAACTTTCTGCTTGTTTTAACAAAATAATTGTTTTTGAAACTAGCTGTAAGTGGAAGTCTGTCTTAAGGCAATTAAGGCATCGTGCCTTAAGGCAAATTGCTGGAACTTCCCGTACCAAAAATTATTAATTTTTCAAAAACGATTAACATTTTTGAAAAAAATGTACTTTGAAAAAATAAGATTTTTGAGAAACTATATATATGGACAAAAAATTACTTTTTTTGAAAATAAAATATTTTTTTTAATTTTTTTTTTTGAAAAAAATTTTTTTTTTCTTTGACATATTGTGGAAGATCTGAACTTTTTTTTTCAAAGCAATCGTACTGATTTAACTGCATAGGGACAAAATATAAAGCGCGTAAGCGCCGCGTCGCTGTCTAACGCATAAGCATTGGTACGGAACCCATAGGAATGGTAACAAAATGTATACTTATTGTTAAAATCTCTATAAAATATCTGATAACTTGATGTGCATATGTCTAATGATCATTTTTGACCGCCAAATGGCTCAATTTTTTACTTTTTCCTCCATATCTCCGAAACCGCTAGACCTACCTTTATGAAAATTTTATCGATTCTTCATCTTGTCAATACAAGTAAAATGTTTTTTGAATTATTTAAATCGGACGCTCCGTTCTCTTAAAAACTGAGTTACCGTTTTTGGCACTTTTTTCCCCGTATCTTTGGAACGGCTAGACCTGCCTTCGCCAAAAACTAATCAGCACGTCTCCTTATCAATACGAATCGAATGTTTTTTGAATTATTGAAATCGGTTGATCCGTGTTCCCGAAATCGTCGACGAAAATTTGTATCCGCACATACATACACACACGTACATACATACACACACACATACACACACACATACACACACACACACACACATACATCCATTTTTTCTAAGGTATGCCAAAATGTTCAGAAACCTTTGAAACGTAAAGATATATAAAAATTTTCATTTTCGATTTTTTTGCGATTACTATAACTTGCCCTACGGGAAGTTAAAAAAAATTTTGTTCCAATTTTTTTTTTTTTTTTTAATTTTTTGTATATCGAAAATAATTCAGATTTTACTTTTAATTCTGACTAAAGTTCTAATATACTTTAAACAAATAATTCAAACTTCGCAATTCAGTTTATATAATTCTTATAAATATTAAACTATGTTACAGTATTTATTTATAATAACCTATTTAAAAGCATTTAATATTCCTCGAACATTTCGTTACGGTACGGGAAGTTCCAGCAATTTGCCTTAAGGCACGATGCCACCCACCCCACTAGTTCAAAGTAATTTTTGTTCAAAAATGTTAATCTTTTTTAAAAAAATAATTTTTGGTACGGGAAGTTTCAGCAATTTGCCTTAAAGCACGATGCCATGCGCCCCACTAGTTTATTCAATCAGAACATTGAATACAATATATTAGTTATTTTGATTTACATTATTTAAATATGATTATAAATTTTAGTTGCCCCAGTGGGTAATTACTATTAGATAAAATTTATTTTATTAAATTAATAGGCCATAATTTTTTAGATCTTCTTAATTCTGGTGTGAGTAACCAGTAAATTGGGGTGATTTAATTTACAACCAGATGGGACTTATTATCATCTTTTTTTTTTAATTTTAAGGAGTATTACAACTGTATTATCATTTTTAAACAAAGACTGTATTTTCTAGTGTTAATTTTGAATTATGTCCGAGAAGCCAACTAATCATGATTTTTATTCATATATACCAAGGTGTTTAATATAATTTTATTACTTGGTCAAGAAAATTCACTCTTGGGCATATTGTCTAATCGAGCGTAAATGTTATATGGTTAGACTTGCTCTCATTGATTTTGATCCGACACTTTTTAGCCCAGTTTTTGGTCACATTTAGATGCCTTCGCACAATAGTCGATTGCCAATATTTGATAACAAAAAAAAAATAGTAAGAATTTAATTCTTTTAGGATTTTTGGAATCACTATTCTATAGAATATGTTTATCATCACAGTTACCGAATAATTTCTTTTAAAAAAAATAATGATGAATATTATCTCAAATGAAATGAAAAATCAACGTCTTATTCTGATATTTATGATTTTCATATAGGTCTGGTGATATTGCCCAACGATATCTACTAAAACCTAATTAGCTTTTTCTCAGAGATAGAGTTGATGGACAAATCAAACACCTTAACATATTAGATTCCGAAGAGAAGCGATTTAATTATAAGAATTATTTAAGTTTTAAAAAGTCGTCCGGTTTGACTATGAACTCTATCGCCATGAGAAGTCTCATCAAAATCCCAGAAAAGTAAACCTGAGTAACAATATTTTATTTTTGAAATATGCCTTTCAGTAAATTTTACATTTAAAACTGTATAGTGCTTTCTCGTCTAATTTTGATCGGTGATTAACAAATATATGTAGGAAAATTTCATTTATAAATCTATATTTATATACTCAGGAGAATACATTTTTTTATTACTTCAAATAGTTATCAATTTATATTAGCAAATTATTATGTTATTTACTTGAAATTGTATAGTAATATCGACGAATAAAACAGCATCTAAAGATCGCTAATTGTGATAAAGTTATTCCAAATATTTGAAATTAACATACTCTACTATTTTAACAATTTGTATGATGGAATTGATATCCATATGTATCATCACAGTATTACTATTTGTCTAAATGTAGGAAAATTTTCAGTATTTCTAACTTACGTAGTAATTTAATGGACAAATATAACAAAACAAAAAATATATGCAATATAGAAATATTCAAGTACTTATTATGGAATGAAATATTTAATATTTGTTTTATGGTGCACTCTATTTAATATTAGTTCACTCTGGCGAGCTGTTTATGCGCGAAAAGTATTTAATGGAAAAATTAAATGTTTATTGGAATATCGTGATGGAAACTTTTCATTGGTAATGCACGTAAACAACCGACATGGATAATAAATAATGAATCAGATTCACTGAAGTGTACGTAATATGTCTAGTGACTTTCAAACAATTTTGTATCAAGAGCTGTTTTAACATCTGTAAATGTATTTTGACAATGGGATTTGGTAAATTATAATATTTTACGTAGTTTTAAATTAAACATAATTGGATTTCTGATACGTTTGTGACTTCAGAATTTTTTTTGTAACTTCAGAAATTTTTCTGTTAACATTACTTTGATAAAAATTTTATAGAAATAGATTTTCAAATGATATGATTCAAAATGACACAAATGCATAGGAATCGCCTAAGGGATTATAATAAAATAGGATAATTCGGGGCACAAAAGTCCAATATGTCTTTTAGTAATTATACTGTAAAAACAAAATAAACTTAGTCAGCACATAACATGTATCAAACGAACAGCTATCGTACTATGTTTTGAATAATTCCCAGTTAACTCTTTATTATAGAAATATATTTATCAGTGTTTTTTTAAACACTTAAAATGGGTGAGGTAAAAAAGCACAGCTAGGGGTCAAACGTGTCCAAAGTTCTTCTTTTTTAAGAGGATATTACAAAAATATTAGTTAATTTGACTTTATAATTATATTTGACGTTGTATTTAATATTTTATTTATCAAAGTGGATGCATTGGATGCACACTCGACGATTAATTTTAACTAACTCATTCAAATATTACGTTTACCGAAAAGGTATAGATATATTATACGCTTTTATATTTATAGATTGGAATGAAATGAAAGTAGCAAATTTTCAAAATATATCATCTCTCCTAAAGTTTCAAACAAAAATGTGCTTTTACATAGTCTATTTGCAACTCAGAAACTATATAAATCTTACATTATGTTGTTATTCTAGGACATAATAGCGTTTGTGTATACCGAGGACTTATACATCCATCAAACTTTACTTTAAATGGAACTATTATGAGAAGAAAATAATAAAATCGCATTCCACGTAAAAGT